TAGGTATAGCAAATATTTATGTAGTATTTATAATATATAGTGTATGTGTATATGTGTAACATATATGATATAAAACTCAGTTTTTTGGTAAATACATTATACACTACACTTAATAGAGTATTGAATTTTTTTTTACCCACTCTTCCATGTGTAGTCAGTTAAATCATCTCTGAAATATAATTTGATACAATATAGTTCACTTGTAAGGCAGATACTGTTTCTATCCCAAAGCCAATATTATTACCATATACCCTTTTGCAAAGAGGGTCTTGATACATCTTAAAAGATCCTAGTTTCATTGACAATATTATTCCTATATAGGAGACTTACAGTATTAAGTAATCTAACATTTTATATGCCTGCTCTCCTTTGTTATGTAGATAGAAGACCAATAGAAAGTTGCTTTAGAAAAAGAGGGGGGGAAATGTTTTTCTTTTTTAATACAATTGTTGGTTTTTTGAGATTTTCTTCTCTTTTATTTTTTAATTGAAATCATTGTCCCATGTGACATTTTCTAATGTTTGATGATTTTGTAAGGCTGGTTTTGGGGGGTGGGGGTGAAAAGGAGACTTGAAAAAAGAAGTTGCCTGTTAATTGTAAATAAAAAGTTTCTTAGAGAGAGACCTGTCCCATTAGTTTGGGCAGAACATGGGCAGGGCTGTCCTGGAGAGGTACGATAACGGTATTGGTCAGTTCTGTAGAGACTGTGTCCTCTGAGCCAACCCTGGAATGGACGCTCATGCAGTTCATTAGGGTTCAGTAGGGTTTTAACTGTTGAATCACCACAGAAAAGCACATGAATAAATTATAATGGTTGGTTTGGCTTTGCTTCCCTTTGTTTTAAAGTTGATTTCTTTTCCTGTCTTTTCTACTTAGCAGCCTTAAGGTGGTTTCAGCAATAAATAAACTTAAAATCTTTTCAAATAAATCAGTTGCTGACATCATTCACCAAGAGGAAAACGCAGAATATTAACAGCCATAGCACATTGAAAGAAATATTAATAGCTTAGTTTGAGAGCAAAAAAAATAATAATATACAGTATATCCATTCTTCTGAAAATCCATAATCACTTTGGCCTGTTTTTTACCTTTGTTTCCCTGAGGTGTTTTTCATAGCAGGAGTTTCATTCTACTGAGCTAAGTTGTAGGATCCCTTAAGCTAACAAACATCTTTTAGATACTTTTCCTATAGGTTTTTCATTCCAGATTATTTAATGCCCCCTCAGGAAAGATAAATTCATTTCTGCACACATTGGGGTGGGCTTTTAGAAAGTGGTGTGTTCATTTTCTGCACAAGAAATGGATCTTCTCTAGGATTTTGTACATCTTGATTTGTTCTTGGCTTCGAGTTTGAAGTGGGTGCTCTTCTAAAGGGATTTATGCGTAGGTTCACTATTTTTGTAGTTATGGTTTATATGATAAGCTTTTTATATTTAAAATCAATATGTAATCCTGTGGAGGAGCTTATCCCCTAAAACCCCATTTGTAAATCTATTTTAGCTTTGTTACACAGCACAGCCACAGTCTTCCATAGATTGATTAGGTACAGCAGTAGAATCCTATCAAATGGCCTGCTCTGATGATGATGCAAACTCTTTCAGGATTGCTAGTTGACTGGAACTAAAGATAAGACTTGACTGCAATCCCCCAATGTGCTCTTTACAAAACTAGTGTTAATTTTCATCAAAGTGCCAGGCTTATTTATAGTGGCAAGGTTGAAGGTTTGCTATAAGAACTTTAGGTCCTTTCTATTAAAGTGTTTATAGGTATTTCTTTTGCCTTTTTTCCAAGGTAATTATCAACTTCAGCAAATAAACTGAATCGGGAATGAATAATTGGCCCTATATATAAAAAAGTGTTTTTAAAATTAACAAAACAGCTCAGTGCAGATGGACATAAACAGAATCTCTTTATTTCAACACTTTGGCTCAAATGCAGCATCAAAACTTAATCCTATTTGTTGCGAAGAGGATATTGCTTTTGTAGAAAGCACACTCTTGAAATCTTTAAATTAATCAGAACCTGCATTGTAGTGTCCCAAGCCAGGCAGTGCATCTACTTAGTTGTGACTGATGTTATAGGTGAGTAATCCTTTATGAAAATGCATAACAGGTAACAACATATAAACTTACATGCACATTTTTAAAACATGACATCTACATGAAGCTATTTTCAAAAGGATTTGTAAAAATTTAGGCTTGAACATAGAAATGTGCATCTTGATCAGGTTTAATATAGTAATTTTTTTAAATCATTAAAATAGTTTAATTTCATGAATTAGCATTCAAATATGTATGTATAAATTTATTCTCATGAGAAAGCAAATGCAGAGTAAAAGCAGTTTTGCTAGTGTAAATCTAACTGCACTTAACTATTTCTTCTACAATTGACTGATAATTTGTAGATAGACATTAAAGTAATAAACATAGAAGTAATAGGAAATAGTCTCTAAATTTATGCTGGAACATTTTAAATTCTAAACTCAGTTAAATTTGACTGTGAAATGAAAATTACTAAAATATTCGCAACTTAAAATGTTTTTGTTACGATTATGGGAAATGTCATTACTGAGCTAGTAAAAAGTTAAGATTTTTAAAATTATTTAATACTTCAGGGGTTAAAAAATAAGCTACTCTCTTATTCACATTGTGAAACCCTTATTTTTTGAAAATACATAAATCTTGATATTTTAAACTACTAATTAAAACCTTAAAAGTGACCAGTCAAGTACAGAGGAAGAATGATTTCATTAAGAAAATTACGTGCCTTTTGTTAATATTTATTTTTTCTTGTTTTAAAATATATTGTACTTTTCAATTTCATTATATTTTTAAGTGTATGGTAGAGAAAATTTATTTTCCAGTTGAAAGCTCTTATCAGAATGTCTTGGAAGCAAGGAATTATAAATGAAAGATTATGAACAAAATTATTTCTTGAAGTTGGAAATGGAAAAATCAATATTCATCAAAACATAATCTGAATTATAAAATTTAGTTACAAATCTTTTACAAATTTAGGAGGTTTTTCTGTGAGTTAATATTTCTGGAGCTACAGTTACCTGAAATTAGACTAGATGACCTTTAAGATCTTTCTAACCCAGAATCTATTAATTTATTTGCTGGGTAGAATGAGACTGATTAAGAACAAGCACCAGATTAGGAAAATGTCCAGCATTCCTGACCTCAGTTGAATTTAAATCCTAAGAATAAAATTGTGATAGATACAACTTTAATTTTGCTGTTTTGATATTTTTACATAAATTCTTACATTTAGAAAAAACTTTCTGCAGTAACAATCTCTTTACTCGTCTCCATGCTTTAGAATATCTGTCTTTAAAAAAATAAGGGTGTAATGTGACCAGTTATTTAATGTATTACTTGTGTGATGTTTTGTATTAAATGTGGATATTTAATATGACGTGTTTCATATATATATGAAAGTGTGTATGTATTTGAGCTTATAATGAAAGGAATAGTGGTAAAATTGAAGAAACCATTCGAGCTTTTTGCTGCTATTCTAACCTTTATTACATGATGATGCATCTAATTTTTAATTTGTAAATACAAGATAGAATTCCCTCTAGCACCATTTGCTTTCATAAAGCTGCTGAGCAGTTTGCTGTCTTGAATAAATTTTGCTTTGGAGGGGGTCGGGGGGATTTGAACCAGCACATTCTTGTGTGATTTGTGAAGATTCACATGGTAACCAGCGGTGTGCATTGTTAGGTTTATCTGAATAAGCACCAGCCATGTGAGTTTTAACATGATTGCCCAGGGCAATGGAGAGAGAAGAGAGAAACCCGAAAGGATTGCACTCCTCTCTGTTTTTTGGAAAGTGCATTCGCTGGGGGAGGGGGCTGTATGAGTCAGTGGCCAAGGATTTTTTTTTTTTTTTTTTTTTTTTTTTTTAAAGCTGGTGTCCTGTTTCCCTCTAGGTCCTCATTTGTTCTGCTATCTGCCTCATCATCTACTTCTTCTTTTCATTGTTTACCTTCCTAATGAGGGAGGCGGGGTAGACTGGGGGTTGATTGACAACTACAAGCCCTTACAGTCTGGCCAGAGAGCAGTTGGCTTTGGTTTCAAAAGTGCTTTAAATGTTCGATTTGGTCCTGTTTTTATTAAACGAAACTGCTGCTCATCTTAAGGAAATTATCAGACCAGCAAAGATTAGGAAACATATTATTGGGGACTAAAACCTTTTTTGAAAAAAACTGCCCCTACCCACGGAAAGAGCACTGCCCAACGGATTTTCCAACCTTTAACGTGGAACTTCAAAAAGAAGTATGTAATTTCTCCTTTGCAAAAGTGCTTTGATTTGAAACCACCCAGCAAACCTCTCCAAAAGAAAACTGGCTGTGATGCGATCGAGAGCTGCAGTGTAATATTGCAGAGCAAATTTATTTTTTACTTCAAAGAAAAATGCTAATTAGCCGATTCACTACTTTTAAAGTTATTGTGAAGCATATGGCGCCCAGTGTGAGATACATCCAACTGCTAAAATAGAGCGAAGAGGAAATTAGCGAAGAATAGGCTGTATGGGGTGAGCGTGGGGGTGGGGAGGAGGATAGGTTCTCAGGCAGATTCTCTAGCCCTTTCAGAATGATTTTATCGCCCATCTCTGCTTCCCGCCTCCTCATTTACCCACTCACCCCTCCACCAGCCCTTCGGCCGACCTCTCCCCGGCCTCCTGCTCTCCCTCCCCCACTTTGGTTGAAATCAGGTGCGCACCTCCAGCTGGCCACAGGCTCACACCTGGTGTGTTTTGCAGGTTCCTGCTCAGCCGTAGCCATCTCTGTCTGCGGGAAATATTTAGAAAGGAGGGTCTTAGGGGTGAAATCCTCAACACAACGACCAGATTGCCCATAAAACATTAGCTAGCGTCTCTAAAATAGGGTTTGCGGAGAAATACAAGGAAACTGGAAAAGGCGGGAAGGGGAGGGAGGGGGGCTTAGTGTGTGCGGAGGCCCTGCGGGTGGGTAACGAGCCTCCCGTCCCCTGCAGACTGGCAGAAGACGGAGGCCCAGAAGCGTCGAGAGCAACTCCTGCTGGATGAGCTGGTGGCCCTGGTGAACAAGCGCGATGCGCTCGTCAGGGACCTGGACGCGCAGGAAAAGCAGTGAGTGGGCGATGGGCTCCGGGTGGAGGCTCTGCCTCCTGCTGAGAGGCTTGAGAAGTTCGCGGAAAGTTGGGCCAGAGGTCTTCGCAGGGCCCGGCAGCCTTCCGCTGGCCCCGGGGTCCCCACCACCGCTGGGACGCGGAATGCGTTGCGAGAGCGCGGTGCTGGTCTGTCTTCCACGAAGAAAAATAATTTGTTTCCTATTTGTCTGACTTCCAGGGCCGAAGAAGAAGATGAGCATTTGGAGCGAACTCTGGAGCAAAACAAAGGCAAGATGGCCAAGAAAGAAGAGAAATGTGTTCTCCAATAGCAGCCGATCCAAATCTTTCCCAACATTTTAGAGTCTTTGGTCCCACGACCAGAAAAAAGTCAGACTCCTTGTTGATTTAAAACTTTTTTTTGGCTGGATTGTACTTCTACCACCACCACCAACCACCCCCTTTCCTCCCTCCTTTCCAGATAATATACAGAACTCCAAAATAGCTTTGTTTAAGGATTTTTTTATGTGAGTTAATCATTTCCTTGAAATCATGTGAAATAGATTTGCACACATACCTTGTGAGTAATTGGTATTGGGAGTGTTCACGAATCTGTTCAGAGCAGAAGGAAAAGAAAACCCTCCATTTCCCTCAGTTTTTGTTGGGAGGAAAATTTGAAGACTTTTTTGTTGTTGTTAATAGAATAATGATGGTGGGAGGGGGGGTAAGAGGGAGATAAGAAAATCATCATGATTTTTTCCCAGTCCTGTCATATGTAACACTGACTCTGTTACCTAAATTTTATAGTTAGATCATATTCAATCTACTTATTAAACTGTGTTGTATTTACCAGTGGGATTTTCTGCAGTTGTTTTGCATTTCACTGTAAGGGTAATAGAGTTCCTCTCCTCTGCTTTCCTCAAAAGGATGGCCCTTTAATATAGCCTGAGATAAGTCCCGTGATGGTGATGTAAAGGTGAGCTGTGAGAATGGGACTGACTAATTGACATGCATCAATTTACAAAGACGGTCTTATCATCTGAGAATGCACCATCTTTTTCTCTAGATAATTATTTATTACATCTAGCTTGGTTCGTACATTTTGTTGGGTGTCAACATTGGCTAAAGAATGCTGTTAATATTTATTCTGTAATGATAAAAAGTCTGTCTTGCCATTATGAGTAAATCCCCCAATTAATATTTTCTTCTCTAGCATATCACTGTCGGTTGTTTTTTGTTGGTTTTTTTTTTTTTGTGAAAATGGTTATGTTTATTTATTACAATACTGAGTCATATAAATTTTCAATAAAAGCGGAAACTTTCTTACCTTAAACACTGCTGCTACTTCCTTGCACTGAAAACTTGACACTGGTTTGAGTGAAAGTTTGTGTATCCATAAGACTTTTCATGTTGAAAAATGGTCCTGTCCTGTGCAGGACAGGATACTGGACTGTATTTGGAGCTAATGAATAAGTTTACACCATGCCACAGGGGCCCTGCTGGCGCATGAATTCGAACTGAAGAGCACAGCATTCAGTCATATTTCCTTAAGCAGTGTAAACTATTATCTTTTGTAAAGGGCTCTTTGTGTCGTTAAAGATTTAAGGAAATTCGTGATTCCATAGCACTTAAAAATTGATATCTTTATGAATTTTCCATGTTATTATTTTCACATTGTTACAATTTTAGAGTCATGAGGAAGAACTATGACTTTGGATAACCAGCAAGTCTGTAGGTGCTGAAGTCAAAGGAAAAGGTTTATTGTTTGTAGGGGGGGGGGTAAGCATATGCAGGTTGTGTGTGAGTGTGTGTGTACACACAGGGAAGGAGGGGAACTTTTAACAAGTTCCAGCTACTGAAAAAAAGGAGCAATTTTATGGTAGTTTCCATCACTCCTCTACAGAGCTGTCGGTAACAAAGAAAGCTCTTCAACAAGTCTGAAAACAGAGACGACAGACCACGAGTATTTATACTTTGGCCTAAATCGCACATACACGTAGTCACCCATACAATATATATGCACACGAATATTTATGCATACACACACGAATTCCATTCGAAAAGTATGCAGCCGCATTGGTTTGCCTAGCTTTCACATGATCATTAAAGCTTGCGACTGTAGAATTTCTTCATGACCAGGATTTTAAAAAGTTATTGAAAAGTTATTGGAACTAAATGAAATCAGGCATTTGCCCTCTTTTATTCGAGCCGGACAGGGGAGCGAGCTGCCGCTCTCTGGGGGAAGCTCTCGGGACCTAGCTCCAACGGGGGAATCCTGCTGACGAAAGTCGCCAGCCTAGCTCAGGCTTGGGCGGTCAGCGTCACCCACACCTTTTACGCTGCATTCGGGGAGCCTTCCCTCCGGAGGAACCTCGCTCTCCCAAGAAAGAGGTGGCTTTCCCAAGCGACGTGCGACCCATCTTCCCTCGCCCCAGATTTGCTGCCTCTCTCCCAGCCCCTCCTGCCACAGCCCGGGGCCTCACGGGGTTTCCTTTTGGGCTGCTCAGTGGTGCCCGCACGCCCCGCAGCGGCGGCGGAGCGGGGACACGCGGGGTCAGGCCCCTGGTCGGGGCGCTGCGTCCAGATTTCGTCCGGCAGCACCCACAGCCTGCCTCCCGAGCGCGGGCGCGCCCCCAGATGCAGAGATCCCGGGCGCCGGCGGCCCGCGCGGCGAGAGGAGAGGCTGTGGGCCCCGGGGTCGCGGAGGAGGAGGAGCGCTGGCAGCGGGCTGGCTTGTGGCCACAGCCCGCCGGCCGGCGCAGAGCTTCCGCCCCTGGCCGGGATCCCCTGACCCCGGAGCCAAACCCCTCCCCCTGTCCCAAGTGTCCTCCAGAGCCTGGCCCAGTCTCGAGGTCACCTGGACGCTGGCGACCAGTCCCGGGCCCAGCTCCCCGGCCCCCTCTCAGCCCGGGGACCGAGAGCCGGGTCGACACCCCCTCCCCAGGCGGGCGGTGCCCCTTCTCCCCTCCCTGAAACGGTCGCGACTTCTGGCCCAGCGTCTCCCACCTGGACGTTTGCCTACGAGCGCCGCTCGGTCCCCTACGCCGCGGACCAGAAACTTTCTTCTCTGCCTCTCGCGGTCTCTGTTCTCCTCCCTCTCCCTCTCGCCTCTCTTTTTCTTTTCTTAATCCCGGGGTTTAATGGGTCGAGCATTAAGAAAATTCGCCAGCGATTTGGGATTAGATAAATACTCTCATTAGGGGGGGAAATCTTGCTACTTGACACCTCCCAACTTCCCCGAGACGGCGACCGCATCTGGAACCCGGAGCGCCGGGCGCCCGCGTGCAGGGCCCTGGGGACAGCCTCAGCGCATTCCAGCGCGCACGGCCGCCCCTCCTCGCCGCGCGGACTCTGCCGGGCCGGCTGCTGCGGGCCAAACGGGGCCGGGCGACGGCAGGAATGCGAACGGTGGCGGGGCTGAGACGAGGGCGAGCGCTCGGGCGCGGGAGGCTAAGCCGGGCGCGGAGGGCGCAGGCCCCGGCTAGAGCCGCGCGGAGCCCGGGATACAGACGCCGTGGAAGCGCCCTTGGAGCGCCCCTACTCCTCCCTCTCCAAATGAGAGCGCTCCGACACGAGCCTTTCCTCAGAACTGGAAGGGGAAGTGTATTTCGTTTCTTTCTTTACACCTCTGCACCTTCTCGCGGGCGCCGAGGCGCGAGCCTCGCGGGCTAATCCCTGCGGGGTCCTGCGCTAGACTAAGGTGCGCCCGGTGCCCGCCCGCGCTGCGCTCTGCGCGGTGTCTTTCCCTGTTAAGCCTTTCTCTTTCTCGTGTTTTTCCTTTTCTCTCTTTCTTTTATTCTGTTTTTTTCCCCTCTCTCTCTCTTTCTCTCTCTCTCTCTCTCCCTTTTGTGAATGAGCTGCGGTGTCTTTGTTGTGAAGAGAAGCACCCGTGTCGCTGACTTTTGTGAACCAGAGAAGGATCTTGTAAAACCTCCTTTCTCCTTCGCACTCCCCCACTCCCACCCTCCTCCTCTGCCCCTTTGATTAGATGTTCCCTCATCGTCCAAAAAAATGTAATTTCGTTGGTCTGGCGGCCACTTTCTTTGAACATTAGCTCGCTTTCAGCTCCAACTTCAATTAGAAGGAGTTGATTTTGAGAGATCAACAAAAGAACCGACCAAAGCCTTATTAAAGGTCCTAAGAAGATCTCCCGGGTTCTTTGAGAAGCAGTTAAGGAAACAGTGCGCCCTCCATCATATTCTGTTACCGTATTTTATTCGGACTCCAAAGGAAAGTGTCTCTTGGGGGAGGGGGAAGCACTTTGATGCACGGCGGCCGCGGCCCCTTTTCACACAGCGGGTCCCCCTTCCTTTTCCTCCTGCTCCACGCCCAGGACCCGGTCCGCTCGCGGCGTCCGACCCGGCGGCCGGGGCAGCACCGGCGCTCCCCACCGCGATGCGCCCGGCGGCTTCTTGACTTGCCCTCACTCTGCTGTTCAAACTTTTCACTCCGCCTGTTGGGGTGGAGGGGAGGGGGGATTAGGAAGAAGGGATAAGAATTCCTCGAAAGGGAGGAAAGTCGAGCTACCATTCAGGAGGAGGTGCCATTTAGAAGAATTGCCTGGCCCAGGGTTGGAGCGAAAACACTTTTTTTGCGCTTTGAAAAGTGCACCTAGGCGGACGCGTGTGAGAAGTTTGCTCGGCGGGGAAATGGACTTCTCCGGTACGAACAATCCGGGGACATCGCCTCCAGGAGGCTCTTTTTGCGGCATGTGGAAAAGAAATTGAGTGCAGGGCTCTGTGGCCACGTTTTCGACCAGGGACAGTCTGGTGGAGGGAGGTCGGGAAGGAGACGGAGTGTGAAAGAGAAAGTTTCCTACAGGATTCTTTCGATTCAGAAGTAGTGTGCGTGTGTGAGTGGGAGGAGACGCTCGGCTCCAACATTTGAGAAGGAGCATTTGGGATCTGCAAACACCCTTCGTGGGGCTGGGAACCTCGGGAGGCGCAGAGGAGCAGGTAGGTGGCGGTGCCTCCCCAGCGGGTTCTCTCCCAGGCGCGGGATCCCGCGGCGCCGAGGCGGGACCAGAGCCCGAGAGCCGCCCGGGCACTCGGCGCGGCAGCCTGTGCCAGCACGAGCCGCCCGCGGCGTCCGTGTGCAGGTGGCGGCGCGGTGGGAGCAGCCGCTGGGGCCCGCGGCGCCGCGAGGGGAGTCGAGGGCCGGCTCCTCTCCACTCCGCGGCTCCGGGGTCCTCGCGCTCACCAGCCGGCCCCCGAGCCCGGCGGCGCGCGGCAGAGTTCGGGAACCGGTTCTCCCGCGCCTCGCCTCCTCGCCGCCACTCCCTGGGGAGCGCGGAAAGGGCGAGGGAAGGGCGGGGGCCCCGGGGCGGCCTCGCGACCGGCGTCTCCCTCCGCGGCCCGGGCTCCGGCGCTGCCTTCTCCTTCCTCGCCCGGCTCTGAGCGGCGTTTGCCAGCCAAACCCCGGAGTTAGCGCGCGACCGGGACGGGGCGGGGCGGGCGGGGGAGGGCGGGGTGCAGGGGGCGGGGGAGGGCGGGGGCGCACGGAGGTAACCCCCGACTCGTGCTGCCATTGCCCGGCTCCCTGTCACTCAGCCCGCGCGGGGCCCGGGATTGGCAGCCCATCCCCGTTACGCACTCGCCTCGCGTTCACATACCCGGGGAGGGCAGGAGAAAGGTGATCAATCTTCATCAGGCTACATTTCCAATCACCTAAACAACCGAGCAAGACAAGCCACTCCGACAAGGTAAATCGCTTGATTTATTTAGTTTGCAAAGTGCCTCTCCAGGACTCCCCAGCCCCCGCAGCCTCCACGTTGTCCCGGGAGTGCAGCGGCCACCGCGAGCCACCTCCCCACTCTGCCTCTCTGGCCCCCACGCCCCCCCTTTCGGCCCCTCGGCGCGGTCCCGGGCGAGGGAGCGTCTCGGGAGCGTGTGGGACTTGGCAAACCAAGTGTGCAATAAAGTGAAACCTGGAGGGACAAGCACAAAGCCCATGGAAAGACAGAGACGGGAGGAGGGAATTTGGGGGAAGAAAGACATGCGGGGGTCCTGGAGCCCCGCCCGGCCCGGCGGGTGATGGCCGCGCGGCTCTGTTTTGCAGGTTGGCTCCCCCGCGGGTCTGCGCGAGGGCGCGAGGTAGATGGTGAGCGGCGCGGCAGCTGAGGGCAGGTAAGGAGACAGCCGCGGGGCCGCCGAGACTGTGCAGGCGCGCGGGGTGCGGCGACCTCCCCCTCCTCAGACGAGCTCGGGCATCCCCAGTCCCAGTCAGGTGGGCGGGGCTGGGAAGCCGCCTGGCGCCCCTCGGGGTGCGGGGAGGACCCCCGAGCGCGGCTGCGGCCCGCGTCCCCTCCCCCGCCTCCGCCGAAGTAAGTGAACTGAAGTGCTAAGTTTGAGGAAAGTCTTGGAAAACTCGCGCTGCAGCCCCACGGAGCCGGCGCGCCTGGAAGCCCAGGCTCCCGCGGCCCGAGAGCCCGGGCGCTTCCCTCCCGGACCCCCGGCTGCCCCCCTCCAGTCTCCTGGCTGGCAAGCTCGGCGCCCCCGCCCAGGCCCGGGTCTCGGAGGGTGGGCGCAGGAGGCTGCAACTTCTCCCCTGAACCCTCTGGCCCCGCGCTCCAGGCCTGCGCTGAGCTCCCGTGAAGCGGGGTGAAGCGTCAGGCCCTCCGGGGCTCCTGTCCCCCTTCCCCAGCTCACTTTCACCTCGGCGAGGAGTGCCCCAGGTTTGGGGCGACAGGGAGGGGGAGGCTTCGACCTCCCCACCCGGGTCTGCTCGAGCTGCGCCCGCGAGGCCTAGTGCTGTCGTCCCCAGCGGGTCCGGGCCGCGGGTCCAGCTGGTAGGACAGGCAGGGAGCGCCCGCGACCTGCTGCGCTCAGGCCTCGGAAGTCCGCGAGACTGTTTGGGGGCGCTGGGCAGGTCAAATTTCAGCTGCTGCGGGGGCCGCATTGTTCGCAGCCAGGACGGGGCGGAAAGAAGGCCCAGCTAGCGTGCGAGGAAGGGCCTGCGGCTGGGCCCGGTGCTCCCGACCGCGGGCCGGGTCTTGGAACCGCCGTCCTACAGCGGCCCCTCTGTGTCCTCTGGCCGCCTCCCCGGGACCTGGGCCCAGAAATGCGGTTGAGGTGCGGTGGGAATCGGGGCGCAAATCTTGCAACCAGTGGGCACCGGAAGGTCAACTGGAAGCATGACTGTGGGCTGTAGGGCTGGGACCCAGCCGCGAAGACACTTGAGGTAACGAATTGTCCCAAGTGGGCAGCGCGTCCCTGAGAGGCCGAGGTGCGCCTAGCCCTCCACAGTGCCTCACCTCGGCCCTGGGAGGCTCTCTCTTTCCTTCTGCTTTCAAAAACATGTGAAACAAAACGAAACAATCCCTGGTGCTCTGGGTCACCAGGCGTCCCCGCCGCCGGGCCCAGTGAACCTTTGCTGGTGTCGTGTGAGATCGGCTCCCGCCCGGCTCACAATTTTGCCTAGACTTGGGGTACGTCACGTTTTGCACTTGGAGCTTTGACCTCTCCAGCCTGACCTGGCTTTTAACCTTTTCTCGATCCTAGTGACACCCTACGGTGTCCTCGGCCCTTTCAAGCCATAAAAGAGGTGAAGACAGTGCCCAAAAGTTTACTTTTCAAAGTGTGGTCTCTGGGCCTTGTGAAGCCAAGTTACTTCCATAGCCTGCACTCTCTCCCCAAGCGCATACATTCCAAATGACGGTTTCCCTGTGTCTCCTGTCTCCGTAGGGCGGCCCCCACACGCAACAGAACTTGAAGTACTGCGCGGTGGGAACCCCGCACTGCGCCTGGCCCCCTGGATCCGTCGGGGCGCCTCCACCCGGCTGTTAGCATGATGTCTTACCTCAAACAACCCCCATACGGCATGAACGGGCTTGGCCTGCCTGGGCCCGCCATGGACCTACTGCACCCCTCTGTGGGCTATCCGGGTGAGCAAGGGACCTCTCCCCAAGCCTCCATATTTTGGGGACTCCAACCTCCTTCTGGTTGGAGTAAACATTTTGTCGCTGAGCAGGCACTGACATTCGATGGCCTAGTCTGTTTACAATGCAGGGCACACTGTGGGAGTTTAGAGCAGAGCTGCAGGTCAGTGAGGTGGGTCAAGGCAGCAAAAACATGTAGCTCTGTGCCCTCCTGCCTGGGACACACCCGCAACCTGCCTCCTCTTGTGATCCCACCGCCAGTACAGAGCACATGTACCCACAAAGTCTTTTCCACGGTGACTTTTTTGGGGGAGGGAGGTGCATGTGTGTGGATCTGTTCCTTTACCTCCCGACTCCTAATGAGGAATTTGAGTGCTTGCTAGGCCCCAATGAAGATCCCAGCTTTCCTTTCAGCAGAGCTTTGGTCTGCGCTGAAAAAGTGGGGGGATTCCCCAGCCCTAATTAAATTACCCTCTTTTGCACTGCTTCATCAACTTTTGCATGGCTGATGTGGATGACTTGAGCCGTTTCCTTGCTTTCTTGTTAGCTCCACTCCATCCCCAGCCCCGTGTATTCCTTCCAAAAGTGTTTTCCAGGTGGTGTTTCTTCACACCCCTTCCGGGTCCTGCAACCGGGGAGTGTGTTGAAGGGAGGTAGGCAGGGAAGGAAGGAGATTGTGTAACTGCTTTTCTGTCTTAACCTCTAAGATGCAGCCACGGGGGCTGCCCTGGAGTTTAGGACCCTGGCTTTCAAATGCTCTTTTCCCACCTGTGGCCTCTCAGGCTTGGTTTCCCCTGGGAGTTTCATTTGCTCCCAGCTCGGCTTTTTTGTTGTCGCAAGAGTCTGGCTCAAGGCCTACCAAGGGCCTGTCCGCATCCGCATCCTCTCGCGCCGGTCGGTGTGGCCATCGGTGATTTGAGGTGTCCCTGCATGTCCCCTCAGCCACCCCGAGGAAGCAGCGGCGGGAGCGCACCACCTTCACGCGCTCGCAGCTGGACGTGCTCGAGGCGCTCTTCGCCAAGACTCGCTATCCCGACATATTCATGCGTGAGGAGGTGGCGCTCAAGATCAATCTGCCTGAGTCCAGAGTCCAGGTGCGCGCGACTGGGGCTCTAGGGTCAGGGTAGGGGTGCCGGGGCTGACAAGAGAGGGTCTGGAAAGGGAAGTCTGACGTTGGGGGCAGGCTCACAGCCTGGGCAGCCCCTCGCAGACTCCCCCTAGCGCTGGGCCTGGGCCTGGAAGAGAGGCAAAGTTAAAGCAACTAGTTTAGAGTCCTGGAACCGGCCCTTGGTCCCTGGCCGCCTTCGGTATCCAAAAGTCCTTTTTAGGATTGTGGGAGGACAAGCAAGTCTCCCGAAGGTAAAGTGCCCTGAGGGCCCAACACTTGCCCCTGCTTCTTCGGCTGCGTCAGGATTTGGCATTTTCCTTCCCGGTCCTGAGTTGTGCCTCCGTCCTTGCGTTCGTCCTGGGAAACCTGGAGAAAGAAGAGCGGAGCTTGATCCGAGCCTGGAGCTCTGTCTAGGATTGCGCTCCACGGGTGGCGCCTTCTGATCAGATGCTTCATTTGCCTGGAGAGGATGCCGAGCACAAAACCCGGCTACCGGCCTTGCTCCTTGGGTTTTTTTCCCCCATGGAAGGGCCCCCAAAACGCTGCCGGGATTATAACTCAGAACTCTCCTCAAGGGCTTGTCATGTCGCCTTCCCTCCCGGAGGCTGGAGGAAGAACCAGGAGTGTCTTGCCATGTACCCGGGCCTTTCAAGAGGAGTGAGAACTTTATGACTGACTAACATTTGGTTACCCACTTGGAGCCAAGAAGCCAAACGAAATTCTGCCCATGCTTCAGTGCTGAGTCCGCTGAGAGCAGCCTGTGTTCCACCTCCTGACCTTGCTTCTGATCTCACCCAAATTCTCACCCTGCCTAGGGAGGGGTCTCCACTGGCTCCAGCCAGATTTGGTGACAGAGCCGCACTCTGCGGCCTCCACTGTGTCTCTGCGCTGTTTTCTGAGCGCCATTCATGTAAGACAGGGCCTCTAAACACACACCGGGCTGCTGGGAAGCAGCCAACAGCAGCAGTTTAGAGATGGCTGAACTTTTGGCTGGACTGACGCAAATGTTCCACCCTTGGGCAGAGTCGGGCTGGGGGTGGGGAGGTGCAAGTCGCCACTCCGGAGCTGCCAGAGGAGGGTCTTTGAGCAAAAGAAAGGGGGAGAGTGGAGGAACTGGGACAGTAGGGGCAGGGTTTGGCCTGGCCAGAGATGGGGAGGGGCAGAGGCCTGAGTAGGAGAGGGATGCCAGACCCAGGCCGGGTGGTGTATGCAAAGGGCGGGGAAGCAGCAGACTCTACTTGCCCTCTGACACGCTCTCCCCCACCGCCCCGATGCAGGTGTGGTTCAAGAACCGCCGCGCCAAATGCCGCCAGCAACAGCAGAGCGGGAGCGGGACCAAGAGCCGCCCAGCCAAGAAGAAGTCGTCCCCGGTGCGGGAGAGCTCCGGCTCGGAAAGCAGCGGCCAGTTCACGCCACCTGCCGTGTCCAGCTCCGCCTCGTCTTCCAGCTCGGCCTCCAGCGCCTCGGCCAATCCAGCGGCTGCAGCGGCCGCGGGCCTGGGCGGGAACCCGGCGGTGGCAGTTCCGTCGTCCCTGAGTACACCGGCTGCCTCGTCCATCTGGAGTCCAGCCTCCATCTCGCCAGGCTCGGCGCCGGCGTCGGTGTCTGTACCGGAGCCGCTGGCCGCGCCTAGCAACGCCTCGTGTATGCAGCGCTCGGTGGCTGCGGGCGCCGCCTCGGCTGCAGCCTCTTATCCCATGTCCTATGGCCAGGGAGGCAGCTACGGCCAAGGCTACCCCGCGCCATCCTCTTCCTACTTCGGTGGCGTGGACTGCAGTTCCTACCTGGCGCCCATGCACTCGCACCACCACCCGCACCAGCTCAGCCCTATGGCGCCCTCCTCCATGGCGGGCCACCATCACCACCACCCGCACGCGCACCATCCGCTGAGCCAGTCCTCGGGCCACCACCACCACCACCACCACCACCACCACCAGGGCTACGGGGGGTCCGGGCTCGCCTTCAACTCCGCCGACTGCTTGGATTACAAGGAGCCCGGAGCGGCCGCGGCGTCCTCAGCTTGGAAACTCAACTTCAACTCGCCCGATTGCCTGGACTATAAAGACCAAGCCTCTTGGCGGTTCCAGGTCTTGTGAGCCCAGGCGTGGGAGCAAGAGGAGAAGAAACGCAACTACCTGCGCCCTCTGTGGTCCCCCTCCTGTTGCTGCTGCTGCACCTCCTTTGCCTCGGCTTCTCCAGACCTGACTTTCATGCCCCCCAAAAGATGCCCAGCGCCTGCACTGCTGCCCTCATCGTTGTGCCACTCGCTTCGGGGAAGTGCACGCCCCCTCCCCCTTGGACGAGGGGGCCGGTGCTTTGGCTTGGCGCGCAGGTTCTGTGTGGGAGAGCTGCGCGCTCCCCTGCCCAGCCCCTAACGAACTCCTCAGTCACCCTCTTCCCAGTCTTTCTGGACAGTTATTATGCACTTGCCGCCTTCAGAGGCTCTTCGCTCTGACTCGCTGTTTGAGCCCGACACGTTTATTTATTCTTTCAGGACCCTGGAGTCACTCACTGGCGCGTGTCTGCCCTGGGAGTGCACCCACACCGCTCGGAATCAGGACCACCACCAAGTATTTCTGTTGCTCAGACTGCCGCCCCTTCAGCTGCCCTCGACCCCCGCTCCTGGCCTGCAGGCCAGAGCTCCCCGGCGTCGCCTTCACCCCTGCGGGAGGCGCTGGGGCGAGGCCCGCGGGACGAGCGCCCCTCCCCCAACCTCCCGCGCCCCGCCCCACCCCTGCGTTGAGCGGGCTCGAGCTTCCGCCCTGGCGGGAATGCTGTACATAGTCAGGTCCGTTCCAGGGACCACTTACACTTTCTAGTTGCTGTTGGTTGAACTGAGCATATCTTGTTTTAGCGCCCAGGAAATAGAACTTTAAGATATATACAGCATATATATATAAATATATACACATATATATAAAACAAAAGCAAAAAATATTTTCCCTCTTCCCTCCTCCTCAAACGATGGCGCTTTTCCTTTTTCAGTTGTGGCAAAGCTGCCCTGCCCTCTCACCCCTTCCTCTGTATTTATTAGAGACCCGCAGGTCCCAGGAGGCTCCGCAGAGGAACGGGAGGGCCCGGGGCGCGGGGAGCCCGCCGAGTCAGGGTGCAGGAGGGCTCGCTGGGACTCCGCGGAGGGCGCGGGCGAAGCCCTCCCGCAGGCCGCTCTACGCGCAGGGTCGTAGTTGTGGTTTAGAGACCAAAAAACAAAACAAAAGTGAAAAAATACAATCTTATGAAAAAAACAAAAACAAAACCCAGGCCCCAAACCCCAGGTCCAACTCCTCCGTCGGCTTCTCTCTTTAAACACCCTGTTTTGTCTAGTGAGTTGTTAGTGCACCTGCATTCCCGAAATCCGCGGAGAGCCCGCACCTGTGTGTTGATTTTGGCTTTGGCCGTTTTGTCCAGTAGGTGGGAAAGTAATTTGTAAATTTGATTTGTCCGATGTGAAGATCACAAATTACTTGTTGAAATGTAAGGCAGCCCCTCTCCCCCCTTTATCTACATTATTTCCCGAAAATAAATGCAAATTAATGAATGGATGGCTTGTCAGTGTTGCTCTTCTGCTTCCAGCCCCAGGTCCCGGTCTCGGGGGGGCCTGAAAGGAGGGAAAGTCCCGTGTTGATAACCAGCGTGTTAATGACCTGTGTGGAGCCGGAGGCCAATGGATAGGGCGGGAGGATGTGGCAACAGGAGCCCCTAGAAAGTTTCTCTGAGGGACCTCCCCCCCCCAGTCAGTCCAGTCTCTTCCCCCTGGCGCTCTGACCCCGCATCCCCTCTCGCCCTCCAGGACAGAGACAGGTGTCAGGACTCCATTCCCGCAGCAATTCCTTTCTCTTCAGAGGCAGGAGCCTGGCACTGATTTCTTCACCCTAATTGCCTGCACCAGAAAGAAGAGGGGGAGGGGAGAGGGTCGGGAGGCGGGAAAGGAGAGCTCTGTAAAGCTCCCAGAGCCGAGCCAAAAAGGAAAAGAAAACAAAACGACAAAAAACCCGATCCGTGTCTTGCATGTTGGCAGCAAACAATCTTCCTTTCTGCTGAGCTGTCCCGGGTGGCTTCACGGCGGCTGGGGGATCCGAGTCACTCCTTCCACGTGCTCCGGTGTCCCTCTAAACCCGCAGCCCTCTCTGCCAGAAGTAGCCAGATGATCTTTGTTCGCACTGTGAAGAGTCTTTAAACCGCAAACACAGAATCTAGAAAAATCTACAAGAACCCATTTCACTTTGGCAGGGGACGAAGAGTCACGGTTTGCAGCAGGGCTTGGAAAGGACCCTTCCACCATGCCCGAGGGGAGACCCGGTGGCGGTGGGGATGGGGTGGGATGACCCCCCTCAAAACCCAGAGTCCTGAGTTGTTCGGACTGTTCGGTTTGAAACCTCCTGGGTGTAAGAATGAGAAGCCGCTCGACTCGTCCACGAGCGGGAAGGAAATAAGGGAACAACGAAAAGTTTCCCGCGAAGTGACCAATACACCCCATTTTTCCCAGTCCGTGTGCGTCCCGAGAACACAACGCGAGGCCGGGCTCGGAGAACGACCCTCCTCCCGGGGTCCCGCGCCGAGCCAGGTTTCGGGCTGCGAGCCCCGGCTCCGGAAAAGTCTTCTCGCCCGCGTCCTCGCCGCGGGCCGCGCAGGCCTGGCTGGGCGCGCGAGCCTCCAGAGAGCCCGGCTTCCCCCACGCCGCCCAGGCCCGCGGGAGGGCGCAGCCGCGGCTCCTGGCCCGGCGGCGTCGCCTCGGGAGGGAACCCGGGGGGCAAGGCACCCGCGCGGGCTCCTCCCTTGGCGGCGCCTCTAGTGGGGTGCGGGACCGAGGCCGACCCGGCGCGTGCGCTGGGGCCCCTCGGGTGCGGGGCTCGCAGGCGCTTGGGAGGCCGGACGGACGGCGGGAGCGCGGGGGCTTGGGCCCGAGCCACACGGGCCGGGGCGGCGCGGCGGCCGGGCCCACCCCGCGGACCCTCCGCCGGGCCCGTCCGGGGCCTCCCGGGCCCACGCGAGCACGGCCGGCGCGGCTCGAGGCCCAGGTGTTAGGCCGCGCGCCCGCAGCTCCCCGAGCCGGGTTCGGCGGGGCCCAGCCGTCCCCTCGGCTGCTGGGCCGGGCGGGCCAGGACGCTCGGCCTCCCGCCCCTCGGACAACCGCGTAGCCCGGGCCAGGCGCCCGGGCCGGGCGCGCAGACTCGGCGCCGTGGCGGGCAGACGGCGCGGGCCCGGGACGTTCCGGAGCGTGAGACTCCGGCCCGGCTGCGGGCGGTGGGGGCCGACGCCTCCCCCCGGGAGCGCCCGCTCGGAGCGGCGGCTTCTAGAAGCTTCGGCGCCTGCGTACTCGGGCGGACGGGGACCGACGGCCCCGCGGGAGTTCCCGCCCCGGGGACGAGGCTTCGAGGAGAGGCACGTGCTCCTCGCAGGGCCCCCCCCGCCCGCGCCGGGCGCCCGCTCCGGGCGGCTCGCGGGCGCTGGAAGGCGCTGGGCCCCGGGACGCCGGCGCCTGGAGAGTGGGGGCGCGGGGTGAGTGCGCGGCCGCTGCGACGGCGGCGGGGGAGCCGGGCCGGGCCGGGGAGGGCGCCCGCGTCGCCGGGGACCCCGGGAGGCGGTGGCGGGGGCGCGAAAGGCGCCTTGCGGCCCCGCCACCTGTTAACTCGCGGCTTCTCAGAGCGCCGGCCTCAGCCCGCCCGGTTCCCCAGGGAAGAGGTGCTGCTGTTTGGCTTTGGGGTTCGTGCACCATCGAGGCGCTCGGAGTTGGAGCCACTTCACCTGAGCCCCCTCGAGGAGATGCAGCGCGTTAAGACAGCAGCACGTTGCTTCCCTTGGGTGCCCAACGAAATCTTCATGTTTTCTGCTCCTGACTGGCGTTCTCTGGCCGCACTCCGGGGGCAGAAATGTTTACCTTTAGGTGAAGGTGTGTGTGGGGGGAAAGCACAGGTCACAGCTGTGGTTCAAAAAAAAAAAATAAAAAATTCTTAAATCCATGTCAGGGGCACTGCATTAATTTGCGGAAGGTCAGGAAAGATTCGGCAAAATAACCTTATTCATTGCACAGCTTTTCAGTACTTTGTAGTAGCTGCTGAGGGTACATGGAGATGACATTTCTCTAAGTTGTGACTTTAAAAAAAAAATCCTTAAAACTGTAGGGTATTAAATGTGAGCGGAAATACAGGTAAATAGACCCCGAATGTCAGCAGATTTATGTTGGGTTACGTTAGAGACCAAAAAACTGAGTGATTTCATGTGTCAGAAGAAAATTACTAGTTTTTTAATGTATTTTGTTCAGAGTAGAAGTTCCCACAGCGAGTGATGTTTTTCAGTTGTGAAAATGGTAAATTCAATGCTTACTCTGGCCAAAAAAAAATGAATTAATGTTGATGTTAAGTACTGACAGGCACTGAAGTTTTAGGGATATAGAAATTAAATGTATCTGATGTATGCATGTAGTTAATATGTACATTATTGGTAAAGAAAGTCTATATCATTACTATTCAAGACAAAAAAATCACTTGGCTTCTGATGCAGAATTAATTTAAGAACAGCAGCAAGATATCTTTATAAAATCTTCAGTTGAAAACTGAACAAGTTCTGAAGTTATTCTATATTTTCCACAATTTAGCTCCCTTCCCCCATACATTTTAATGTGTAAAATGAAAATGAAGAGAGTTCATTAAGTTTAAGGGATTTTTATAATTAACAACTCAATACTTTAAGTAAAAAACACGAACTGAAAAATGAAAAATAATAATGCATTGCTCATTTGACAACAAACATCTGTTATCTTTAAGAAAGAATGTGTTTAATTAAATGTTTGGGTTTGTAGAATATACTCTTTTGAAAAGAAGGAGTTGGACTGTGTGTGGCTCTGTGTGGTTCTTGGAAAAGGCAATTATACTTGGTCATCCTGTTAGTATTTACTAATATCTGAAAAAAAGAATTGGATTTTTTAGGGGGAGAGGAACAGGGAGCATGCTCTTTTGATGCTTTAAGGTTGAGTTGGATTTTACTTAAAACAGGTTAGTTTAGCCCTTTAAAAGTATTTTAAATTGAGAAATATTTTCCTTCAAACCTTTAGTAGCTTAGGTGAAATGCAGTTACATAAAATAGCCAAAGTAGAAAC